CTGTCCAGAACAGCAATGTGTCCAGAATGTATCAATATATACACATTTCTACATATATATTGATGTTTGAACTGAACAACAAAGCTAATGCAGGAGGTGCATCCAGAAAGAAGCGCCTGTCGTTCACCTATCAGGTGAGGGAGCTGCAGTCTGACGCCGCCACTGCCCCGACGTCGAAATGTTATTGAAAGCGGCGTATTTTGAAGGGCATCCCAAGTTACTCACCTACTACTCATAAGCATATCATCATGGCTTGTCTTGCTTTGAATAACTTCATATGAGATATGGATTGGGAGAAAACCATCACTTTCTTATTTGCGCACATGGGGGTGCTTGGCGAAAGTCAATGTACCAATAACGAAGAAGCGCAAACTTGGACCTAAGACTGTGGACTGTGTCTTTCTAGGATATGCTCATTACAACATTGCCTATAGATTTTTAATAGTTAAATTCGAGGTACCTGACATGCATGTTGGTACAATTATGGAGTCTCGTGATGCTACCTTTTTCGAGAGCTTTTTCCCAATGAAGATACACATAGTGGTTCGAGCCAACCCTCTGAAATAATTCCCAGTTCAATCACACCACCATAACAAACTGAACATACACATGAACATGTCACTGAGGAGGATGTCAGTGAAGCTCTTCGAAGGAGTAAGAGACAAAGGACGGCTAAATCCTTTGGTGATGATTTCACTGTGTACCTCGTGGATGACACTCCTAAGTCAATTTCAGAAGCATAGGCATCTCCTGATGCAGACTACTGGAAGGAGGCTGTCCGTAGTGAAATGGATTCCATTATCGCTAACTGGACTTGGGAGGTGACAGAGCGACCCTATGGATGTAAACCTGTGGGGTGCAAGTGGGTGTTCAAGAAGAAGCTTAGGCCTGACGGTACTATTAAAAAGTACAAGGCTCGGCTTGTTGCTAAGGGCTATACTCAGAAAGAAGGCGAAGATTTCTTTGACACTTACTCACCTGTTGCTAGATTGACCACAATTCGCGTGCTACTTTCCCTAGCAGCCTCACTTGGTCTTCTCGTTCATCAAATGGACGTTAAGACAGCTTTTCTTAATGGAGAGCTAGATGAGTAGATCTATATGGATCAACCTGATGGGTTTGTAGTTGAAGGTCAAGAAGGCAAAGTGTGCAAATTGTTGAAGTCTTTGTATGGTCTGAAACAAGATCCTAAGCAATGGCATGAGAAATTTGACAAAACATTGACATCTGTAGGCTTTGCAGTCAATGAGGCAGATAAATGTGTGTACTATCGCCATGGTGGGGGTGAGGGAGTTATTCTGTGCTTCTATGTTGACGACATACTGATATTTGGGACAAACCTTGAGGTGATAAATGAGATTAAATCATTCTTGTCTCAAAATTTTGATATGAAGGATTTGGGAGTAGCTGATGTTATCTTAAGCATTAAGCTAATTAGAGGTGATAATGGGATTACACTCTTGCAGTCCCATTATGTGGAGAAGATCTTGAATCGCTTTGGCTACATTGATAGTAAGCCTTCTCCAACACCTTATGATCCTAGCTTGTTGCTTCGCAAGAACAAGAGAATTGCTAGGAATTAACTGGAATACTCCCAAATCATTGGCTCGCTGATGTACCTGGCTAGTGCAACTAGGCCTGATATCTCCTTTGCTGTGAGCAAGTTGAGCCGGTTTACCTCTAATCCGGGAGATGATCACTGGCGTGCGCTTGAGCGAGTAATGCATTATCTGAAAGGTACTATGGAATTGGGGCTTCACTATTCTGGGTATCCTGCGGTACTGGAGGGATATAGTGATTCTAACTGGATCTCTGATGTGGATGAGATCAAAGCCACTAGTGGATATGTCTTCACACTGGGTGGTGGTGCTGTTTCGTGGAGGTCTTGCAAACATACCATTTTGACGAGGTCAACCATGGAAGCAGAGCTGACGGCACTGGATACTGCTACTGTTGAGGCAAAATGGCTGCGTGATCTATTAATGGATCTGCCTATTGTTGAAAAACCGGTGCCGGCTATCCTTATGAACTGTGACAATCAAACGGTAATTGTCAAAGTGAATAGTTCTAAGGATAATATGAAATAGTCTAGACATGTGAAAAGACGATTGAAGTCTGTCAGGAAATTGAGAAACTCCGGAGTTATAACGTTGGATTACATCCAAACAGCTAGAAACCTGGCAGAACCCTTCACAAAGGGACTATCACGAAATGTGATAGACAATGCATCGAAGGAGATGGGTTTGAGACCCATGTGAGTTATACTATGGTGGTAACCCAGTCTATGTGATCGAAGATCCCGTGAATTAGAACCTGGGAAGAACAAACCATTAGTAAACTAGAGGAGAGTACCAATCTATACCCTCTCTAAGTGAAGATGCATGTACTCTCGTGAGCTGCAAGGCAGGTTGGCTATGCCTTAATGAGTTCTGTTGGCTTTAATTAGTGAAGATGCATTCTTGAAAGAACTCACCTTTGTAAGCTTACTAAAGACCTAGGAGTATGACTTATACGCTCCACCCGAGGGGTAGTCTACAGACGGTCTAGTACCAGATAAGACTCTGAGTGAAACTTGCTTGCACAAGACTTGCAATTCAAGGCGTAGTCCATTGTTCAAGTTGTGAGTAAGTGTAGCTTAGAGTTCTAGGTGGATGTTCAACCTTAATCGGTCTCCATCGAATCGCTGGTATATAAACAGTACATTGGAAAAGACAAATCTCTAGTGGGATTTTGAGATTTGGTGGGGGATTGTTGGAATTAATAGATGGGCTAAGGCCCATTCGAAGATTAATTCTTTGGAAAATCACAAAAGCCCACCTCATGAGATGGCATGCATGTGGAGTTTAGTACCACCTTGCTTATTCTAGGAGAGGGGGACCTCCTTAAAAGGGAGGATGCCCTCCTAGCCACTTGAAGCATGTGTGGTGGAGAGAAGAGGGGAAACACACGCGCGCGATCGCTCGCCTGGCAGGGCAGGGCAGGCGGCGCGCGTGCACGACGTACGCGTCGAATGGTCCGCAAAATTGGCTCCTCACCCTTGCGCAGATGCAGCCTCCTTTTGCAGTTTTGTTTTGCTGCGGGAAATTCGGATTTGTTTTGTTTTGGAAACATTCCGAAAAATTCGGTGCGTGAAAACGGCGTGGAGTCCGGATAGGTTACGCGCGACTTATCTGGTTCGGTTAAGCGGGCGCCCTGATCAGGCGACCTATCTCTATATAAACCGGGTCACCGCCTTCACGCAACACACGCGAAATCAATCTAGGGTTTGCCTCCTACTCTGTGCTGCGCTGTCGCTCGTAGACTACTCCATCCCGCTCGTCGGCGTGAATCGGCGATCGGGAGAGTAGGTCTCCGGAACCTCTGCCTTCGACGTCCTGCACCGGGAGAAGGCGGCAATACGGTTTTTGGGAAGCGCTTCGCGTGACTGCTCCCTGTTCGTCCGCGATGGCTCGCCTTCCTCTCCGCTCGCGTGCTTCGCGCCTTCGTCGACGCTCGCAACCACGAGTAGTTCTTGCCGAGCAACCGGTCTTTCCGTCACCTCGGTACGTGTTCGACATGTTGCGCATATTTGATCTGTTCATGTTTTACTACTTAGTTTACATGTGTAGATCTAATGATGCGTTCAATCTAGTTTACATCTGCAATGTCATGATTTATTTATGGAATAAATTAAATCATTATGTGCTTATAATTTCAATAATATATTGCTGTTTAGTTTAGTTCAAAGGTGTGCTCTGCTATGTACATATATATTGCCACCGAGCAATGTGTCCAGAACACCAATATATACTGATGCCCATATATATTGCTGTCCAGAACAGTAATGTGTCCAGAATGTATCAATATATACACATTTCTACATATATATTGATGTTTGAACTGAACAACAAAGCTAATGCAGGAGGTGCATCCAGAAAGAAGCGCCCGTCGTTCACCTATCAGGTGAGGGAGCTGCAGTCTGACGCCGCCACTGCCCCGACGTCGAAATGTTATTGAAAGCGGCGTATTTTGAAGGGCATCCCAAGTTACTCACCTACTACTCAGAAGCATATCATCATGGTTTGTCTTGCTTTGCATAACTTTATCCGTGATAGCAATTTACGTGATAAGGAGTTTAAGAGATGTGATGCTGATGAGGACTACTTACTAGAAGATACAAGTGACACGGCGGACGATGAGAGTGAAGATACAGAGAATGATAATACCATGAATACTATTCGCACTAGGATAGCTGATGCTTTGATTAGAACAAGAGGAGGATAGTTATTTTGAGATATGGTATCATTGTATGAACTGTTTATCTTTTGCTCTGTTTATGTGGACCATATCACTTTGATGGATGAAAAGCTAATATATTTTGATGAAAAACTTTGATGGATGAAAAACTTATAAATGTTTTCTTTCCAAATCGGCCTTTTAAATATGAGATATTGGACATATTAGGTTTTTACGAGTAATTTGCATATAAATAGTCCTACACTCCTAATGGCTTTTAGGGGCATTATAGGTATTTCTTCTAGAAGCTACAGTTTCACCGCTACTCTAACCAAACGGGCTTCTGCTTTTCCCACAACTGATTTTTCACAGCCGCTTTTCCACAGCCCATAGCTCACAACAGCTTTTCCAAAAGCCACAGCTCAACCAAACACACCCTTAGACTGTGTTCTTTTAGAGGGGTTGGGAATCTTCCCCTGACTCATAAAACAGAGCAATAGATTAGCTTAAAAATAGATTAATATAAGTTTTTAAAAGCAATTTTCAAACAATGCATCGTAGTTTTGTGACTAAATCAATTCTAAATCGGTAGTTTTATGATAATTTTGTTACCAATAAATATATAATTTTATGACACTCTATCTTTAACGTGTAGTTTTTTTATAAATTTAATGTTAAATCTATAGTTTTTTAATAGTTTGGTCATAATATTTGTGAGATTTTTATTTCCTCCAAAATAAACCTCTTCCATTCAGGAAATTGAACCGTCCATGGGTCGTGAAAGAGCCCCCACAGTAGCGGAAATGTTCAAAGGCCGACGGTTAGGTCATAGAGCCGCGACCCCGACTCCCCGAAGCACTAGGCCCTAGAAGCGGGGGGCACGCGGCGCCAGAGCCACCGACTCCGCCGGCGGCGGCCGGATCCGGCGAGCTTGCGGCGCCAGGCTAGGGCTCCTCCTCGCCGTCGTCGTCGACCGGCGGCTAATCCACCAGCGCCTGGGTGATCGGTGAGTCGGCTCTTCGTTTCTTGCCGCGCGGTGCCCTTCGCCCGCCACCTGTTCGACGGAATGCCTCCTAGGCGAAGGGGCTCGAGAGGCGAGGAGATGGCGGAGGCCAGCAAGGAGGGCGGGATCAACGCCCTCCCCGACGAGCTCCTCCAGCACGTCCTGTCCTTGCTGTCAGCCGATGAGGCCGTCAAGACCTGCGTCCTGTCCCGGCGATGGCGCCACCTCTGGAGATCCACGGACGTCCTGCGCCTTGATGCTGATAAGGAGAGATGGAAGAGCTCCAAGCGGTTCAAGAAGTTTGTCAACCATCTAGTGCTCTTCCGGGGCTGCTCGCCTCTACGCGAGTTTGATTTGGAATTCAGTTCATGTCGAGAGAAGGATGAAAAGGGTGAAGACAGTGACGAGGATGAATCAGACGATGACAGAGGTGAGGATGAATCAGATGAAGACAGTGATGGCGATGAATCAGATGAACACAGTGACGACGGTGAATCAGATGACGACAGTGACGAGGACGAAGACAGTAATCCATTCCAATGTGTCATGATGTGGGTCATGTATGCTCTAATATGCCAAGTTCAGGTGCTCAAAATCCACAACTTCAATGAAAGATACATTGAAATAGATGGCGGCATGCCTCTCGTCTCACAGCACTTGACTAAGATAGAACTTTCTGGTATAGTGTTAAAGGATTGTTTTCTTAACTTCTCAAGCTGTCCCGCATTGAAAGAGCTATATTTCACCAAGAATTGCTGCTTTGACTCTGTCAAGAAGATCTTCTCCCAGTCAATGCAATGCCTTCGGATCTTCTGTTGTCAATTCAGTGAATATCACCGCACACTCATTTATGCACCAAGCCTCATTAGGCTCTTTCTTGAAGGTTTTTGGGGCAGAACTCCTTTTCTGGAAAGAATGCCCTCATTAGTTGAAGCATCTGTCAGACCCCACCAGGATTGTGATGACTGGTGTAGTAATACTTACACTGGTAATTGTGAAGATGAAGACTGTGATGGTTGTCATGGTATGATAGATAAGATCGGCAACAGTTCCAATTGTGTGCTCCTTGGAGGTCTATCAGAAGCTAAGAGTTTGAAGTTGATAGCTGGACCTGAAATAGTAAGCTTACATTGACATCTTATCTCCTTTATGTTAATTGCTGTAACTTACCTTTGTTGCCTACTTGCCTTACCTATATGCACCATTTTGTCACCTTAACAAAATTCATGCATTGCTACTGTCTTGGCTCTTAAATTATTGTATTCACAACAAAAATTGGTTGACTTTGTCGCTTGCACTTTATCCAGATTATTTTTGGAAGTGATTTGAGATGGTGCCCTATGTTTAGCAAGCTGAAGAATTTGTTACTCAATGAGTGGTGTCTTCTGTCTAATTTCTGGGCACTAGCCTGTATTCTTGAACACTCACCAGTTCTACGGAAGCTCACTCTTCAAATTTCCAAGGTATTTGTTTTTACAACTGCTGCACTGTTAAAGTTGTTGTGCATGATTAATTAAATGTGATATTTATTTTCGTGCTACAGGAAGCTAAATCTATGATGCAAACAGAAGAGAATGACAATCCATTGCGGAAACCAGCTGCAATATCTGAACACCTTAAGGTAGTGAAAGTCCACTGTAAAGAAGTTGATGAGGTGGTTTACAAAATTGGGAAGTGGTTGAGTACATTGGACATAAAAGTTCTTATCAAACGGAGGAATCAATCACCAAAACGTAAGCTTGCTATTGACATTTTTCATTCTTCCACTTTTTCTGAAATTTGCATTATTTATTTGTTAATGAAAGAAATAAATTACTAAAAATGCAAATACAGATTTAACAAAAGAAAAGGAAAAGTAAAAAAAAAGAATGAAAAAAACTATCTAGAAGGGATAAAAAGGAAACATCATCCAGTATATTTTGTTGTCAAGTATGATCCATGAAATTGTACAGAGTTTTCCCTGTTGCACTGAGTAATAATATAAATAGACACAAAGTATGTTGGCTTCTACAATTTGAACTGTTTACTTGTTGAATAGCTTTCATTTCCTGTTAATGTTGTTAACATTCATTCTGATTGAGTAGTTCTGGACAGCAACACAATATGTTGACTTGTCGAATAGCTCTTAAATATACATGTTTTCTGACATCATATGGCTATTATTTACCTTCATCTTTGAAATTTACCTTCGAGAGGTCATTGAGTGTTGCAGACATTGTTGACTGAATCACCCATCTGTGCCCTGTAAACTTATTTTGCATAAATATGCTAGTTTATGGAGCACTTTGCCTTAGAAACTAGGGTTATATGAAACAAATTGCTAAACCTCAGACTCTTTGAAATTAACTCGTTTTGTAGTATGTCCTGGGATTTCAAGTTTCTTGTCAAGTAACTGAACATTTTAATTGCTGCCGATTATTACCAGACTGTGAACTTACCTTGCATTTTTACTGACAGGTTTCTGTTCAAGTAAGGTCTAAAAACTGGATTGTCCATGGATCTACAGGTCTAAAATGGTTTCACCGCGTTGGTGCTTACTGCTTAATTTGCTGTGACAACTGAGAAGGTTGCCATTTTCTGTCTGTAGGTGTCATATGTCAGTTCCAGTCATATTGACAGTTGGAAATATAAGTCAGAATTTGTAATTGTAGGGCCCTAAAAAAAAGGATTTGGAAGTGCAGGTAATCTATGGGTTTCTGGTTTGATAAATCTGCTACCTTTAACATGTCTAGCTCTGTGAACATTGCTCCGTCTGAAATGTTTGATAGTATGCACATCTGGTAATGTGTTTGAGCATGTTTGTCAATCTGTGGAGGTCATGTCGAATTGAGAGATGCTTCCTTTTCGTTATAGATGAGAGTGTATATGGAGTTTTCCGCAGATTAAACCGTAAGAACATGCTGAATTTTTCATTCAGAGTAGTTTTGAACAATAAATTGTACAGAGTACAGGAGTTGAGTTGCACAGGAAGGTAATTGAATCGTATGTCCAAACGAGGCTTCTTTATAAAAATCTACTCGGGCCTACGTGTTGGACCTTTAAATGGGCCCAGCACTGAAATGTTCATGGCCCACGCTTGTGGGCCTGTATGGTCCGGCCCGTTAATCCTATCCAGTAATTGGGCCTTTACCTCGGTCAGGTGGCCAGCCTGGGAATACCATAGCAGTAGACGCGGGCACGGCGGCGCCACGGCCACCGACACCGCCGCCGGCGGACATCTCCGACGAGCTCGCTGGCGACTCCTCCGAAGATAGAATCGCGCTACTGCAGCCGCGTCGCCTCGTACCACGGAGCCCCGGCAAGGTGCGTCCTTCTATCGCCTCCCCGTAAGCACTAGCCACTAGGGCAGGATGGACGCGGCGGCCGGCGGGTGAGGCTACCGGCGGCGAGGCCGCTGTATCCTTCTCTATTTCACTCTCACTTTTGCTCTGCCCCTGCGTCCGTACAGTCACACTGGTTGTTTCTTGCACCGTGGCCCCGACGCCCGCCGCCTGTTCGACGGAATGCGTCCACAAGGGAAGACGTTGGAAATGGGCAAGAGAGCCCTACCTCGGAGCAGCGACGGCGACGAAGACCGGACAGGAGACCTGCCGGATGGGATCCTCCACCACATCCTCGGGTCCCTGCCGGCGCGGGACGCCGCGCGGACGTGCGTGCTCGCGCGGCGGTGGCGCCACCTCTGGAAGTTCGCCACGGGCCTGCGCATCACCGACCGCGAAATGCGGGAGCCGGCGCCCATGGAAAAGCTCCAGGATTTCGTGGACCACCTGCTGCTCCTCCGCGGGCGCGCGCCGCTCGAGACGTGCTGGCTCAACTTGACCCGGCTGTCGTCCGACGGCGACGCCCGCCGTGTGAACCTCTGGTTCCGGCATGCGGTTCTGTGCGAGGTCCAAGTGCTCCGGCTGGATCTCATTCTTAATGGCTTTCAGCTCAAGCTAGACGACCTGCCTCTAGCCTCCCGGTGCTTGGCGAAGCTAAACCTTTCTGGTGTCCATTTGATGCACAGTTTTCCCGATTTCTCATGCTGTCCGGTGCTGGAACATCTAGATATCTTCTTCTGTGACTTGTCAGATGCCAAGAAGATCACTTCACAGTCCATGAAATGCCTCAATATCAGACATTGCACTTTCAGCCAAATATCCCGCACTCGTATTTCTGCCCCTAATCTCATTTCATTGCGGCTAGAAAATTATTGGCACCGGACTCCTGTCTTTGAGGTTATGCCGTTAATAGTGGATGCATTTGTCAGAGTACACGATCGATCTGGGGATTGGTATAGTTGTACAAGTGGTAATGCTGATTTTGAGGAATGCCTTTGTGAGGATTGTGACTTTTGTCATAGCAACACCAATTGTGTGATTATGCAAGCTTTATCACAGGCTAAGAATTTGGTGTTGTCAGCTCATGAACAAGAGGTATGCTATGCTTCCACTTTTATCTTTAACCCCCCTTATATTATCCCACTTTTTCATATGCAGAAAGACTGTCCATCACTGGACATTCGTAAATAACAACTAGAATGACCTTTTCACATACACTGCCACCACAAGGGAGTTCTTAAATAATCTGCTAACATCAAGTTTTAGTTGATCTCTTTTCTGCCCATTTTGTCCAGTTTATTTTCAAAAAGGAATTGATGCGGTGCCCTACATTTAGTAACTTGAAGACGTTGTTACTCATTAACTGCTTCTGTGTGGCCTTCGATTTGCATGGAATCACTTCCATTCTTAGACACACACCAGTTATAGAGAAACTCATTCTTGAGTTTTTTTTCGAGGTATATATTCTAAATGGAAAACCGTTTTGTGGTTACATTTCTTAGATAACATTGATATATCTTGGCCAAGTATTTTATTGTTGTTTTTGTTACTGTTATTATTTGCAGGTTACTGAACATGATGATGAGGTGGAAATGAAAGGAAGTTGTAGTCAAATGGAGAGATCATCTGCAATATCAAAACATCTTAAGTTAGTCATAGTCAAATGTAACGCGATTGATGGGAGAATTACCAAAATTCTGAAGTTCTTATCTACATTTAATATTTGTAAGATAACTAGCAACACCATTCGTTCTTTCTATACTTCTGAATTTTTCCTTCATCTTCATTTGTGTGAAAGAAAGCAAATAATCTAGAATCTCCTACTTTGTTAGAAAATCAAGATATAGGAATACCTAATTGAAAAGAAAATGAAAAATCCTGTCCTGCTTTTGGTGAGAGTGTGGAGCTCAATCTAATCCATCATGTTAGCAGATAGTTTGCATAAAGCTATATAATATCTATTTTATTGTGAAGTACATTGCTTAAATTGTTGAATAGTTTTGAATATTTGTCTTCTGCTGATAATTTATCAGTTCACATATTAGTTCTGATTTCTGAACAGCAGCAAGATTGTCTGTCTTTCTGCATTTAATAATTTATAGTTCCATGGAATAACGCACTGTAGTGAAATGTCTTGTGTCTCCACTCTTATTTATGCTCGATTCCATACCCTTGTTGACTATATTACCCATCATTCTGTTCTTCGTACAGGCTAACTGCATGCATGTGAACAGCTAATGAAGCAATGCTTCTCTCTATATGTCTATTAATTGTGCGTTTAACACCCTTCTTGAATTATCTGAGTAGTAGCACACATACATTAGCATGGTGCGGTGGTGCCTTTAGACTGTAGCTTATTCTTAGATACTCTCTTTGTTTTTCTACCTTTCAACCTGCTATGATTTACTTTTATTTTCCACTTTTTTTTTTGTTTTATTATGCTCTGCAATTGCTTATGATACTTCCTTACCTGGCCCCCTGTGAATGAAATTCCTTTGACTGATGCTTACTTTCTGATGTTAAAGAGAAAACATGGTTGGTCTGTGTTCTATATGTAGGGGTAGTTTAGGCTGATGAACTCTTGTTAAGAGCAGGTGGAAATGGTTCAATACCATTAACCATGTTTTTGCATACAATTTACTAGAACATCTTACTATGATTAAATTGTATCCTGGTCAATTGAATTCCACCTTTCTTTTTGGTAAATTTCACAAACCCTGGTTGTGGAGCAAAACTTTACATAAAACCTCAGGTATATGCATATAGCCATATATCATTGATTTGGCTATGACTCTAACCTATTATATTTATCTGTAGTACTTGAACAAAGATTGAATGTGTTATAGTTGAGTAAATAGACATATTAGCTACCTTCTCCTCTATTGGTTGCCGGTAGCATGACCCTTTGTGGGTTTATACAACTAGTTAATACATCTCTACTATTGGGGTTCACATTTTCATCTTTTTTGCCGTCATGCAGTGGGAGAGTGAGGACAGAGATAGTGTAGCCTAGGAATGTGTATTTCGGTCCTATTATGTGAGTATATACTTGAGATAAGATATATTATAATGGCTTTGAGTATTTTGCATAAAGATGCTAATTTTATGAAACATTTTTCTTAAAAAATAGGGTTGTATGAAAGAAATTTCGGAACATTGGTTTTTATTAAAACTACTTTTTTTTGTATAAGTCTGTTCCCATATTTTTAAGTTTCTTGTCAAGTATCTGAACAGTTCAATTGCTGCAGATAATTCTCAGGCTATAAACTGACTGCATTTTCTCTGGCAGGTTTCAGTTTCGAGTAGGCTTTAAAAGTTGGGCTGTTCCATGGATCTACTACTATGTTACTGTTCAGAGCATTGGTGGCTTGGTGCTTAATTTGCTGTGACAATTGAGAAGGTTGCGGTATTATGTCTGTTGGTATCATATTGATGTTCTAGTCATAGTAACTGTTTAAAACTGACAAAATAACCTTGTCTGTATTTGTAACTGCCTTACTATGGCCTAGGGAGAGTTTAGAAGTGCTTGTAATCTAGTTGGACGGACCTAGTATACTGTGATTTGCTATTTCTTTTGAAATTTTTGGTTAATTCGGATTTATTCTATGTGGGATGATGAATTCTGCTTCCTCAATTCGATTAGCATGTCGATTTTTGAGAATTTTCATTATATACCATCCAATTGGTAACACTTTTAGAATTTGCCACCCAATCCGGCACCACTTTCTGTAATTTGCTACTAGGAATGCGAATTGTTTCCTTCCACGTCACTCCTGTCTATCCAGCTGCTCTTCCGTCAGTGCCTCTCGCTCACTCCTCAACGCTGCCACCATCGGGCCAACCCAACTCGTTGTCGGTTGTCGCTGTTGAGCTGGACCCGCCACCAATGCCGCCTTTTGATCGGGATCCAAGCGGTTTCCCCGGCTGTCTCCTTGTTGGCCGTGCTGTCTCCCTGGTCTAGACCAGCGTCGTGACGCCGGGGTAGAATAGAGTCGTAGGAGGTACTTCGCCGCTAGCCATTGGCATTGTTGGCCGGATGGTAGCTGCTTCGGATAGGGAGAGTAAATGTGGATTTCAATTGGGGGCGTCGAGCTGATATTTTTGCATATATGCCACCCAAAAAGACTGGCTTCGCTATAATGCTACTTTTAAAATGGGATTTGACCAAATGCCACTCTTAAGCCACATGCATTCGCTATAATGCCACTTTCGACCTTTCTTCCATTTTTAAAATATTTTTCCACAATTTTAGCTTTTCCCAGACGCTTTTGCCCCTGAGTCAATTGAATCGGAGCTCTGCCCGCTGTACATGTCCACGGGGTCGGCCGTGCCGTCGCCGCGCAGGGCGTTGGAGATGGCGGTGGCGGCGATGGGGATGGGGCTGTCGTCGCCGGGGTCGTCGTTCACGCCGCCGCTGTCGCCGTCGGCCGGCGGCGGGGGGAGCGGGATGGGCGGCGGCGCTTGGTCGCATCAGCCGAGCATGCCGGCGCTCTGCCTGCCCGGGAGCGCCGGGAACCTGCATCTGAGTCGGCTGCGCACGTTGCTGAGCGCCCGCGACATGGCCGTCGACGAGCTGCTCGCCGCGGCGGCGGCGGCGGAGGCGGACTACGATGGCCTCGTCGGCTCGCCCGCCTCCATCCGGTCCGCGAGGGGGAAGGCGCTCGTGCCGTCAAATCTCGACGAGCTCTTCTCGGCTGAGCCTGAGCTCGCCGCCGCGGCGTCGCGCTCGCCACGTTACGCCGACCAAGGCGGCGCGGCGTTCTCCCCGACCCGCAAGGCCGCCGTGCTCAACCAGTTCCAGCAGCAGCAGCAGAGCTTGCTCTCGCCGCGGGCGGCCGCGTTGACCCCGGAGCCAGTCTCCCCGATGAACTCCCGCCTCCTCGCCGCTCTGGCGCAGCAGGAGAAGATGCAGCAGCAGACGCTGCGAAGCATGAGCTCTCGAGACCTCGGCGCCGCCGCCTCGCTCCTGGTCGGCTCGCCGGTGAGCTCCAGCATGTCCAAATGGGGATTCCCCTCTGGCAACCCGGACGGGGTGCCGACGACGAGGAGCTCGGCCGTCTCAAGCGTTGCTCCTAGTTGAATCCACTGCTCCGATTCAACCAGTTGACTCTGGGGCAAAAGCGTCCGGGAAATGCTAAAATTGTGGAAAAATATTTTGGAAATGGAAGAAAGGCCGAAAGTTGCATTATAGCGAATGCATGTGACTTAAGAGTGGCATTTGGTCGAATCCTATTTTAAGGATGGTATTATAGCGAAACAAGTTTTTTTTGGTATATATGAAAAAAAAATCTCCGTGGAGTCAGCTGTGGAGGAGTTGGGGCCGAATCCATCCGTGCAGATCCTCTGACGACATCGACGAAGGAACGAGGCACCTTGCGGGGCAAAGCGCGTAGATGTGGATGTAGCTGGCGGCGGTGGCAGGGGGAGCTTCGACCACGACGAAGGCCTGGGGCCACGACCACGAGCGACGGGGGATGGCCAGGCTGCTGCGGAGACTTCCTGGTACCCGCGGAGAAAGCGGAGGGGCGTAGGCGACGCCGACGGGAGGCGGTGGGAGCGGAGCTAGCATTTCAAACTACAGAGGGAATCACCGTGCTAGCCGTTACCCTGCAACATAAGCTGACGCATTCCTTAAGTATAGCAGACATAAGTAAGGCCTCTCACGGTGCAATGACGTGGACCCGGTGCTACACCGCGCCAGCGAGGATTTGTGCTTGCGTGGAGCAAGGTCGCGCGCCCTAGCAGAGCCCCTCGGCCCCAAGCAAAGCCGCGAGGAACCTGGTCCAAGTGAGGGAGCGCGCGACGCCGAAAGTCACGGGCACGCGCGCTGTGGGCAGCGTCGCCTCGCTCTCTCGTGACCTCGCGCCCATACCTCCTGGCGAAATCTTCGATTTGCCCTCCAAAATCCTCTCCCGCCGCACCTATTTCCTTCTTCCCGCCACCGAAACACCCCAAGAACTTCCCAAGCAAGAACTCGATCCGTCCCAAGAACACAAGAGGAATCACCAAGAAGCAAAAGAAACAAAGAAATCTTGATCCGTCCCAAGAACACAAGAGGAACCCAGGCCCTAGATCTCATATTAACCAATGAACAACACATCTCACATGCACAAAAACAACAATCAATAATCGGAGTTGGAGCCAATCTATCATCATATCAAGCCGCCGCGCCAGCCGCTCCCGCCAGGGACGACTCCCGTCGCCGGGCCAGCCACCAACACCGCGCGGGCCGGCAACCGCGGCTGCCGGCGCTGGAGGGAGGAGATCCGGCGCCGACCACCGAGGACGCCGCCCGCTTCCATCCTTCTCCTGCGCTCGCTTCCTCCTCGCCGCGCCAGCCACTGCTGCCGAGGACGCCTCCCGCCACCGCGCCAGCCACCGCCGCTGGGGACGCCTCCTCGTCGGATTTTCCCGTCGGCGTCGCGGCAAAGGGAGGAGAAGGAGGAGTGGTGGAGTAGTACTCAACTCGAGGATGGAGAGGAGAAGTAGTACTCGATTGATGCCATCGAGGAGAGGAGGCGAGGGTTGGAACGGAAAGCGGAGGAAATAAATTTTCGTGGGGTCCACCGGGTTGGGCGCTAGGGTCACACCCCACTATGGGCTTGGTACCCTGACTTAGTGTCTCCATCCAATTAATCTAGACAACTATGGGTGGGTGCTTGTACTGTGGGGTGGGTGTCTTTGGGCCAAGTTTTGAGGCTAAGGGTATGGGCCTAGGGCTGTCAAAAAAGCTCGGAGCTCGCAAGCTGCTCGAGCTTGATTCGTTATAGGCTTGATTCGAGCTCGGCTCGAATACTAGACAAGCCAAGCTCAAGACTAGGCTGAGGCTCGCAAGCCTAGCAAGCTCGAGCTCGAATAGCTCGGCAGGGCTTGATTAGTATAAAATGTATTGCATGTAGGAAGATATTCTTGATGGGTCAATGTATATTTGTCATCGTGCTTGACATGCTCAAGTCTCAAGACCTCATCAATGCTTCTCAATAAAGCAATTATCTGGCTGCTAGTAATAGTACTACTATTCATATTAGATGTAGTAGCTAGCTTTTGTTAATTGCAATGTTTCAAAGCCATGAATTCATGAGAAAAGCTGCAGAGGCTTCATTCAAGACAAGTAGCACCCATTAATTTTGACTACCGATAATTTGCATTAATATCTCTTATACAAAAGTAAGTTCTTTGGAGTTTCACCAAGTCAAGCAGCCAAGCTCGAGTAGGCTCGAAGCTCGCTCGAGCTCGAACTCGAGCTCACTCCCAAGCTCGATCAATATCCAGGCTCGGCTCGAGCTCGGCTCGAGTTCATGTCAAGCTCAAGCCTACATAGCCAAACTCGCTCGAGCTCGGCTCGTTGACAGCCCTATATGGGCCCCATAGCTTGCACTATTAATGCCCTAAGGATATGCTTCTATAAGTGGTCTTGGTTTGGTGGTCAGAACTTCAAGCAAGATGAAATTATTTCTCTTCCCCTATGTTGGATTTGGTTTGTGTTAACATTACAGAACAAGCTGTGAAAAGAAGGATTACTCCGGCCGCAATTTCAAGATTTTGAATTTCTTTCTTTTCTCTTACTTTGTTGTTTTTCTATTTCTTTCTTTTCTTTTACTTTGTTGTTTTTCTTATCAGAGTTTTTGATATCTTGGCTACATGTTTCATTGTGGGAAACCTTCCATTATCTATAAAACTTATGGATCTTTATCTTCAATTCTGTCAGCAAAACAATCCAGTTTTTATCCAAGCGTTTCAAGCTGACGAACGATGTCAAATTCGGTAGCTAGATCGATACACATAGATAGATAGGTTCGCCAAAAAAAAAAACACATAGAGATAGAAAGTGTTTTCAAGCTGATGAACGATGCCTTATTTCATAGCTAGATAGACACACATAGCGTTGTCTATTGCATACCACCACCTATAGCAATACTGATCCACATCAAGGATTATGATAATAACCACTGCCACCACCACCGTTTTGACCGTTGCCACCACCTCCGGTATAGGCACCACGGTACCCAGGTTGCATATAGCCTGAACCATACCCCTCTGGAAGTTGTGGCTCCGATGGCCCCGCTTGTTCTGCAAAAGAATGTAGTTGGTGTTACTAGCGTAGCGAGCATCTCCTGCATACAACTAACAACTAAAAATACCAGTTCTTCTTGACAATAATTCTACTACTTTCTCCGTTTCACAATGTAAAACTTTCTAGCATTGCCCACATTCATTTAGATGTTAATGAATCTAGACATATGTATGTGTTTAGATTCATTAACATCTATCAAGGGCGGATCCCACATAATTTATTTTTGGACACAAATCTAATATATATTGACCATAATTTATATGTACCCCCATAGTCTATCTTGATTTGTGATATTTATACCCTAACAATTCAATTCCACCCTTTTCTAGCTCTCCTCAGCCCAACAAGATCAATAGTCTTCCTAGTCCCTCCCTTTCTTTTGTAATATATTCATGCTAATTTGATTTTCTTATTTACATTTTGGTTGTGGCAATTAATAAGCAATTACTTTAATGCCTACTTCCTCCGTTTCATAATGTAAGATTTTGTGTCTAGATTCGTTAACATCTATATAAATGTGGACAATGTTAAAAAGTTTTACATTATGAAACGGAGGGAATAGTTATCTTTGCAAATTGTATATACATATATATATTGCCCACTCAGTTATTTTTCTCTACATGTTGTTGTCTAATTGATATCAATTGTCCTACCGAAATAAGTTATATTCCTTTGCTAGCTACTAGTTTCTTCGTGGTTTATGAGTGTTTTCCTTCATTAGCAATAAATCAGAATATCTTTGCTACATAAAGCTATCGACCTATGCTATACAATCTCCAAAAATTCCAAATTCTTTGGTACTCTTCACTCATACTTAGATGATTAGATCAATAGAAAATTGTTTGATGCTGATTATAGGAAATTATAAATGTTTCTATATATTTTATTATATATGCGCACAATTCGTAGTAAAGATTATGCATCAAAATGATGTATCGTACAGTCAATATATGTCAATCGGTATCGATATATCTGTTATTTTAGAATTCCGAATAACCATCACATAAATCATGGATCCGCCACTGACATCTATATTTATGTGGGTAATGCTAGAAAGTCTTACATTGTGAAACGGAGGGAGCAGTATATATATCAGGGTGTGTTTAATTAGATCCCAAAAAATTTCTTCCAAAAACGTCACATCGAATGTTTAAACACATGCATGGAGTATTAAATATGAACGAAAAAAACCAATTGCACAGTTCGCCTGTAAATTGCGAGACGAATCTTTTGAGCCTAATTACGCCATGATTAGCCATAAGTGCTATAGTAACCCACATGTGCTAATGACGGATTAAGTAGGCTCAAAAGATTCGTCTCGCAGTTTATAGGCGGAATCTGTAATTTGTAATTTGCTTTGTTATTAGTCAACGTTTAATACTTCAAATGTGTGTCCCTTATACGTCAAAAAATTTTACACCCAGAGAAACAAACACACCCTCAGTTTGAAAACCACCGTACCTGCTGCATGCGCTACATCGTGGGAGACGAGAAGGAGAGTGGCCAATATGACACCAAGAAGAATTGGGAACTTCGCAGCCATTTCTGAACTTCTGTGAGTGTGTAGAGCTAGCAAGCTTTGTCTGCGAAGACAGCTGTGCGACCTCTGCTCTATTTATAGAAGAGGCGTCGCATGCGTAGAACCTCCTGAATGGTTGGACCATGGATGAGGCGACTGAACTCAATCAAGTTTCCATGCCAGAGCAAGAATAATAGTATAGCTCAATTCCTACTATTAGCTTATCTAAAATCAACATATATAATAGATTAGCCATAAAGTTGGTTATAATTTTCTTCTATTCTCTTTATCTCTCACTTATATATTTAATGTATTTGTTTTGGAGTTTGTGATAAGCTAGCTCTTATTTACTATCTCTCTCCTCCACCTAAGCTATAGTAGGTTTATAGCTCAGTATTATACTTACTCTCAGTGGTTGGACTGATACGGTTGGTTCTTAGAATTTCTTGGAAGTTCGGTCCAACAGGGCATTGGAGAGCACCTCGTTGTCAACATTATTGATTACTTCCCTGTACAGCTGGGTACGTTCTGTGCCATTTATCCGTGCGCATTTACCTGTGACGGTGGCTATAGGGCAGCATGCCAGTAATCAATAGTACTCCTACATCAACTCTGGAGTTGGCCTCCAGGGTTCCTGGCTTCCTGCAAGAATGAACATTCCAGCTTGCACCGCTGGTGTGATCATATGGTTATGCATATGAAGGAGGGGACCCTGTAAGGTTAATAGGTCCACAACAAGTCAACAACTAACATGGAAGCAGCCGGTGATGAAGAAGCATCAGAACCTCCTAGTATGGCTGCGTTTAGTTCCATCCAAAGTTTGGATTTTGGTTGAAATTGGAGATGATGTGACTGAAAAGTTGTGTGTGTATGACAGGTTGATGTGATGGAATTTTGCAAACTTTGGATCCAAAGTTTGGATCTAAACACACCCACATATCATCAAATTGTCTACTCCCTCTGGTTCTATATTAATTGACGTTTTGGACAAAGTTGAGGTTAAACTTTTATAGCTTTGACCATCAATAACTTTAAATATAGACCATCAATAACTTTAAAAATATTTAGTTTAAAGAAACTAGAAAAACATATATAGATTTGTCTTTCAAAACACTATAATAAAAGTAAACATGCATTTATTTATTGTATATATTATAATAGAAAAATAAGGTCAAAGGTATATCTTGTAGAGCGTGTCATTGTCCAAAGTGTCAATTAAAATGAAACCGGAGGGAGTAGTTGGCATCTCTTGTAGATGGTTTATATCAATTCGTGTTGTAAATGCATGCCCTCCGTTGATAGTAAAAATGTGACCTGAATCAGCGTCAACACCCTCAATTTTGGTCTCGTTGTGGGCCACGGGTGAAAACGGTACATAAACTTTCCGGATTCCGGACCTATTTTCGAAAACGAATCTGTCGATCGGAATTTTTTAGAAACGGAAACGGATTCGTAAATATTTCCTCGGAAACAGAATCGAAAATGATAAGGGTAGTTTTCGTCGGAACTCGGAATCTGTCGAAAACTTTCCAGAAATTTTCTCGGAATTTCCAGAATCACAAAATATCCTGAATTATTTTTTTAAGCACTGAATAGTGAATACCATGATATTTGGCTATTATTTTTTTAAAAAATATTTGTTATGCAAATCTAAAATTATATAAGAATATTTTTTTACCTGCATTGGGATTTATCAACAGCATTACTAATTTGCTTCATATATTGTGTTTTGTGATGTACTATTAATACTTAACAATTTGACTTATATGATTATGTTTTATGTTGAATTATTGACCGTTGAGACTTGAGAATTGGATTTATCAGTTTGAGGGGTTTTTTTATTCCGATAAATTTTCGTTACCATATTCGCGCCGGTTCGTTTTCGCTCCGTTTTCGATTTCGATAATATTCGATTCCGTTTTCGTATCTGGGGTTTCCGATTCTGATTAAAAAAATATATATGAAAACGAAAGCGATAAAGATGATTTCCGTCCGTTTCCCGTTTTCACCCCTAGTTGTGGGCATTGTTTTTCTCATTTTCTTTTTCAGTGGCACTCAGGTCTAGGATTAACTGATAGCTCTAGGCTCTAGCATTAAAATTGGCTATCCCTTGCCATGCGGCTACTGCAGCCTGCCGGGCAAGTACGGTCCACATGTTGAAATAAACAGAAAAAATTGTGTGCACAACCACATGCGCTAGCTCGTTCCCCATATAAATTGATGAGCACTATTTTTTCTGGTGTAGTATCTGCTTGCACGAGAACATGTACAGCCACACGATCGAGCAGAGCTCAAATGGCTACTACATCATCAGCATGCGTTTCCATTGCTGTACTAGTAGTAGTGCTATCGTCCACCTCATGCTATTCTTCTCCAAGTCCGACGACCACCGCCAATGGCAGCAGCGACACCGATCTCGCCGCCCTGCTGGCTTTCAAGTCCCAGCTTACCGACCCCCTCGGCGTTCTGACAAGCAACTGGAGCACCAGCACCTCTTTCTGCCACTGGCTTGGTGTCACCTGCAGCCGCCGCCGCCGACATCGTCGTGTCACTGGACTGTCGCTGCCACACACGCCCCTCCATGGACCCATCACTCCTCTCCTCGGTAACCTCTCGTTTCTCTCCTTCCTCAGGCTCACCGACACCAACCTCACGGCCTCCATCCCAGCTGATCTTGGCAAGCTACGCCGTCTTAGACATCTCTGTCTAGGTGAAAACAGCCTCTCTGGTAGGATTCCTCCTGACCTGGGAAACCTAGCAAGGCTCGAGGTTCTTGAATTAGGCAGCAACCAACTCTCCGGTCAGATACCTCCAGAGTTGTTGCTGCATCTGCACAATCTTCAGGTGATTTCTCTAGAAGGGAACTCCTTGAGTGGGCAGATCCCGTCTTTTCTATTCAACAACACGCCTTCCTTGAGGTACCTATCTTTCGGAAACAACAGCCTATCAGGTCCTATACCGGATGGTGTTGCCTCCCTGTCTCAACTCGAGATTCTAGACATGCAGTACAATCAGCTCTCCAGCCTAGTGCCACAAGCCCTGTACAACATGTCCTGGCTTCGAGTCATGGCGCTGGCAGGCAACGGGAACCTGACCGGACCAATACCAAACAATAATCAGACATTCAGGCTCCCTATGCTACGATTTATTTCCCTCGCCCGGAACAGAATCGCCGGTCGGTTTCCTGCGGGGCTTGCATCATGCCAGTACTTAAGGGAAATCTATTTATATAGCAATTCTTTCGTGGATGTTCTCCCAACATGGTTAGCTAAATTGTCACGACTTGAAGTAGTTTCACTGGGTGGAAATAAGCTTGTTGGTACAATCCCAGCTGTTCTTAGCAACCTCACCCGCCTCACAGTACTAGAGCTCTCTTTTGGCAACCTTACAGGAAATATTCCACCAGAGATAGGATTACTTCAGAAACTTGTGTACTTGCTTCTTTCAGCTAATCAGTTGTCTGGCTCGGTACCGCGGACACTGGGGAACATTGCTGCTTTACAGAAGCTCGTTCTACCCCACAACAACCTAGAGGGGAATATGGGCTTCTTGTCATCTCTTTCAGAATGTAGGCAGCTGGAAGACCTTATCTTGGACCATAATTCTTTCGTAGGTGCCCTTCCAGACCATTTGGGTAATCTCTCGGCACGGTTAATTAGTTTCATTGCAGATCATAATAAGTTGGCAGGTAGTCTTCCAGAAAAAATGTCCAACTTAAGCAGCCTTGAACTGATAGATCTTGGTTACAACCAACTCACTGGGGCAATTCCAGAATCAATCGCTACGATGGGAAATCTCGGGTTGCTTGATGTCTCTAACAATCACATTTTAGGCCCTTTGCCAACACAGATTGGCACGCTTTTGAGTATACAACGACTATTTCTTGAAAGGAACAAAATCTCTGGCTCCATACCAGATAGCATTGGCAATCTTAGCAGGTTAGATTACATTGACTTGTCCAACAACCAGTTAAGTGGAAAGATACCAGCAAGCTTATTCCAACTTCATAACCTTATCCAAATAAATCTTTCCTGTAATTCCATTGTCGGTGCTCTGCCAGCCGACATTGCTGGCCTAAGACAAATCGACCAAATTGATGTTTCTAGTAACTTCTTGAATGGAAGCATCCCAGAATCATTGGGACAGCTCAATATGCTAACCTATCTGATTCTCTCACACAACTCCTTGGAAGGTTCAATTCCTAGCACTCTCCAAAGTCTAACTAGCTTAACATGGTTAGACCTTTCCTCAAACAACCTCTCTGGTTCCATTCCCATGTTCCTTGAAAATCTTACCGACTTGACTATGCTGAACCTCTCCTTCAATAGGCTCGAAGGCCCAATACCAGAGGGAGGAATTTTCTCTAATAACCTTACGAGACAATCTTTGATTGGGAATGCTGGGTTATGTGGTTCTCCACGTCTTGGATTTTCACCCTGTCTTAAAAAGTCTCACCCTTATAGCAGACCTCTTCTAAAACTTCTACTCCCAGCCATCTTGGTAGCTTCTGGCATCCTTGCTGTTTTCTTATACTTAATGTTTGAAAAGAAACACAAGAAGGCCAAAGCTTATGGTGATATGGCAGATGTCATAGGCCCTCAGTTACTCACCTATCATGATCTCGTCCTTGCCACTGAGAATTTCAGTGATGATAACCTGTTGGGATCTGGAGGATTTGGAAAAGTATTTAAAGGCCAACTTGGCAGTGGTTTGGTTGTTGCTATAAAAGTTCTAGACATGAAGCTGGAGCATTCGATCAGAATCTTTGATGCTGAGTGTCATATACTACGCATGGTGCGACACCGCAACCTGATAAAGATACTAAATACCTGTTCGAACATGGACTTCAAAGCATTGGTTCTTGAGTTCATGCCAAATGGCAGCTTAGAGAAACTGCTACACTGCTCCGAGGGCACAATGCACCTGGGATTCCTCGAGAGGCTGAATATCATGCTCGATGTGTCCATGGCAGTTCATTATCTGCACCATGAGCACTACGAGGTGGTTTTGCACTGTGATTTGAAGCCTAGTAATGTGCTATTTGACAATGACATGACAGCACATGTGGCGGATTTTGGCATTGCGAAGTTGCTATTAGGCGATGACAACTCGATGATTGTTGCTAGCATGTCTGGAACGGTTGGTTACATGGCACCAGGTACATCACTATATATAGCATATGCACTTTGTTATATATAACTAGGAAGTAGGAAGGTAGCCCGCGCGTATACGCGGGCATGTATCGTAAGTTGTGTTCAAGAAATTTATAAGATTGGAATATTAACCAGACAGTATATGCTACGCTTCAAATTTCAAAAAAGTATTTCTCTACGATTGTTTTTCAACGATATTCTTTGATAATTTTTATAAGCTATTTGTTAGTTTTATACAACAAAATATTTAATTCATCCCTATGAGTAATTATCCATCCAGTTATCGAGAAAGAAAGTAGACTTATTTTGTTAAGAAATCATGTTTAATAAATTAAATTCAAATTAAAATTGAAGTGTTATTAACAAAACAAACATTATACACTGATGATTTGATTCATCTTCACCTTGGCAAATCAGTATTGCTGCGACACTCGTGATGACCTTGGTAAATCACCTTAGCTGTCTTAGGTGTGGTGGTTCATCTCGGATGTTTTGCTTTTCTCTCAGAATTTCTTGGATTTTTCTAATTTATTAGAGCGCCATGTTGTGTCTTAGGAGCATTTGTAGGAAGTTTAATAGACTTTTAGTACTGCCTCTGTCCTAGAATGTAACAACCTAGGATAGGATGAGACCCATCCTATATTCTGTGACGGAAAGAGTATATGATAGATAGATAGATAGATATAGTATTATGAAATTTACTCTTTTTATTTATATAATGAGTTGCTAGCTACAAAATAGGGAGGAGAAAGTGAGCAAGGAGAGAGGAGCGAAGATCATATATATGTTATTAATTTAATATTTAATTACTTTTTATTTTTCATGTAAAAGATAGGATTTTTTTTCCAAAAGATATATTCTTGTATATCCAAACATGGCCAATGTAGATAAATAAAATATAATGTAAAAATTATAATCATTTAGAGAATTTACTTTTATTTACATATTGAATTTTGCTAGGTAGAAAATTGGTAGATTGAATGGAAAATGGCAAGACAAAAGGAAAAGGAAGTACAGGAGAGGAAGAGACGTATGTACGTACGTACGTCAGGGGAGAGGAGGTCTCGTACGTACTTGAGGGCCACCTGAGAGGTGGTGGGTTAGGGGTGGGAGGAGATTATGGATTGGGTTTTAGGATATTTTTTTTAAGATAAGATCTAATGGTGAAGAATAATGGTCCACCATCTTAAGTAAAAATTAACGGTCGGATGTTTTGCTTTTTTTCTTAGAATTTTTTGGATTTCTCTAATTTATTTGAGCGCCACGTGGCGGCTTGGGAGCGTTTGTAGGAAGTTTAATGGACTTTTAGTATATAATAGATAGATAGATAGATAATAGATAGATAGATAGATAGACTAGGGAGGAAGCCCGCGCATCTGCGCAATTTATTTATTCTTTTTATTAGAAAAATGTTAAAGGATCTTATTATGGATGAATAGTACTTATTTTTCTGTGGTATGTACACGGGAGATTAATATGGAGGGATTACTTTCATACATCTAATCTAATGTTTAAAAATAACCAAGAAGGAAGCCCGCACAGATGCGCGGGCAATTTATTATTCTTTTAAAAAAAACTACTAAAAAAGTCATATATCATCATAAAAAACCATAGATTACCTCATAACCTTACCGTAAAAGAAGAAAATATTTATACCGTAAAATAGACCATAGATTTTGATATACTAAATGATAATGTCTATCATATTCAAACAAAAATCGCTTTATTTCAGTTATATGTAAACTTACCTATTATCATCCTTTGTAAACATAATATGAGTGTTGATTTTTTTTCTTATATTATACATCTAATTTACCTATACATGATCATGGGTAATATACAAAGGAATAATCTATATTGTCAAAATTATTTGTACTAATTTTTAGCACAATTTATATGAGAACAACATAATTAAAAAAGATAAAATATAGTTCCATATGACATTTTGGATTGTACGTATGTATGTAAGTTTTTTTCTTGCGAATGGTAGTCTCTCATATCTACATACTTTTTCATGTTTTGTTGACAAATATTTTTCTCTCATAGGAGATAGGGTATGTGTATGTGCATTCATAGGGTGGGTGTGTACATGTTTATATGATCGTCTATGATTGCCTTTTACATTGTTAGTTAAAAAAATATTTTGAAGGAAATTGGCGAGGGTGGCGTGAAGCAGCGCCATGGCAACGTGGCTTCTTCATCAACCTCGCAAAGAGTGGTCGCTACATATATGCATAATTTGTGGAAAACCTTAGGGATACAAGAAAAAAAACAGAAAACTACCAGACGGGGTGGACCATATATGCGCTCTTCTTTTTTGTTTTTGACATCTCTTGTGTATGTACGTGCATAGAGAGGGATTAGCTGGTTCTTAGGAGCGAGGGCTTACCTAAATCAATCTAATTTAATGGTTGAAAATATTGGATTCACCGGTTTAAATGCAAATCGATGACTATATGTTTTGTTTTCCCCTATATTTTTTCTTAAATTTTCTCCTATTTATTAGAGCATCTCATGGCATCTTACAAGTGTTTGTAGGAGTATATATAGGAACACTATTACTTATGGTCACAATCTACTTATAGTCAACTATTGTTTATTGGGATTTTGTGGCATCCTCTATTTACCTATGATTTATTGTTAATGGTTTCCCACTTAGTACCATCCTTTTATCTTTGGTGCTTGATGACATACATGTTTACTGGATGTCAACTAATTATTAGGTGCATTGTGCATGGATGTATCATAAGCAATATAACTTGACGATTGGTGACACTGGTTTATATATAGAACTTATTACATGGGATTTAGCGGGGACATACGATTGATATATTATACCATTCTTGATTCACAAAGTATATTATATACTACATATTTAGTTTTAGTACATAAGTAATAAATTTATGGTTAAGTTCTAAAGTACTTATCGGATTGGAGTACTCCATTATTTATCGTGACCACGTTTACCGAATTGCTAAATGGTGTGTATTTTACAAAATAATTTTTATTATAGAAGTTTTCTAAAAAAATAAAATCCATTTTCAAGTTTGTAATATTTAATACTCGATTAATCATGTGCTAATGACTTGTGTCTTTTCGCGTGCCCTATATAAGCTAAATCAATGAGCCAGATCGAACGAAGGCTCTAAGTAGGAGAAAAAGGATATTAATATGGTGTCAAATGAATATATTTGATATTCAATTTTCTAGTAATATATGAATAGAGTAAACACATAATACATGAAAATATATTTGTGATAAATTTAGTAAAATCCTTTTTCCATATAAGTATTTTTTACAATAGGGAGTGAATAATTTTTGAAATTCTACCCACAGTTGAAGTTGTTTTTATTTTGGAAAATGTAAGTCTAATTTAACAACCATATAATCTATACTTTTAATTTATTTATGTTTTTTTATGTTTCGATGACATGCGCCTAATTGGAATACAACTCGAAATAGCATATATTGTTTTACAACTTAAAGCATAGTTAATATGGGTTTAATTATTAGTTTGGTTTTCCATCAAGTCTAAATGAGAAAAAAAAGAAAAAATAAGGATGTGGGACCCGACGTGTGTACATACCGTACATAAGTACATATTTTTTTTTCTTACGGAGAAATACATGTGTATGTACTGTATGTAGGTACATACTTTTTTTAAGGAGGAATATCTACGTACCTATGTGCATGTATATTGGACGATAGTGGCATTATGACGTGGGCCTTTTTATTGATAAATTTAATTAGTAATTTTTAAGATAGATTTAATGGTTGAAAATAATAGGTCCACCAGATTAAATGAAAATCGATGGTCGAATATTTTTCTTTTTTCTTATAATTTCTATGATTTATTAGAGCGTCACATGATGGTATATGAGCGTTTATATGGTACTTGTGGTAAATTAAAAGGGTTTGTAGGAAGTTTATCCTCTTGATTACTTTTTCTCCCTTTTTCTCTTTATGAAAATATTTGCAACAATAATTTTTAAATTACTACATCCTTCTAAATTATATATTTATTTGTAACGATATATTTTATATCATCATAATTTTAAACTTTTAAATCATACGTTTATTTTTTATCTATTTGGACCATTATGTTATTTATGATAAAAACCACAATTAGAATTTGACATATGTTGTCTATTTCACTTGTGAAATGTATATTCTTCTAAATTCTATTTACTATTCCTTGAATGTCATTCAAACATGTATAAAAAGTTATAAAAATAAAGTGACTATATATTATTTTATATATTATTTCATCTTGTACTACCTCACTGGGCATGCATAAATAAAATAGAAAGTGACTATATATTATTATTGTTAGATCGACTTTTTAAAGCCTCACTAATAAGAAGAATGCCTGAGCAGCTGAAAACATATATTTTTAAATCATATGTTTTTATTGTATGTTTGTTTACCATATTTGTAGAGTAATAAATTTTGTTTTTCTACTATAGAAAATACTATTTTTAAAAAATCTATTTTTTTACCGACGTACATATATATTTTTAATGAACAGTATCTAAAGTTTTTTTTCATTTGTGGGTACACACGTGAGATTTCTTTTTTTCCCATGATGCATACGTACGTGAAATTTTCCTTTTCTTTTCCGCGTACGTAAGTGACGTGAGATTTTCCTCTTTTTTTTCCATTGTGATCTAATCCAATGGTCTAAAATAATGGGTCCATCAATTTAAATGAAAATTGACGGTGAGATTATAAAATGCCACGTGGCAATCTAAGAGCGTTTATAGGAACACCACACAACGGTTTAGGAGCGTTTCTAGAAAGTTTAATGGACTTTTAGTATATAATAGATAGATAGATAGATAGATAGATAGATAGATAGATAGATAGATAGATGGATCACGTGGTGGCCTAGTAGCGTATGTATGATGTTCAATGGCCTTTTAGTACTCCCTCCATATTTTAATATATGACAACGTTGACTTTTGGACCAACGTTTGACTATTCGTCTTATTCAAATTTTTTGTGCAAAAAGGTATTTATGTCATGTTTTAAGAACATTTGATCATAAATCAAATCACAATAAAATAAATAATAATTACATAAATTTTTGAATAAGACAAATGGTCAAATGTATCTTAAAAAGTCAACAGTGTCATACATTAAAATATGGAAAGAGTATATAATAATATTCTGCCTCAATGATTGGTGGATAGCAGTACATACATAGAATTGATACAAGGGCTAAGTGTAACATAGAATTGACACATAAGGCAAGATATGTGTGAGACGAGTACATTGGACCTTATATACTATATACTCAGATTAACTTAAGTTTAAACTCGAAAGATTGAAGATGAACGGATAAACATATACACCTCCTATTACTCTTAATTAAGACACATTGGTCTAGTTCATTTAACTATTTTTTATAGTCCTTTAAATACTAAAGATATAATTATATCAAAATATTTATCTAGACATATCTAGATTTACATTATTGTGATAATTCATATTTTAAAGTGGAGATAATATTTTTAATGCTAATCACAATTAGAGTATTTTAGTTTGGGATATTGTAGATTGCTTTAAATATGAAAGTTATGATGACGTCAATTTTTCATGAAATATTTAAGTAACATTACTTCGTTTTGTGAAAAATAATATTATTTTAACATATCAATATTAGAACAGTGGTATTTTTTTTGAGTGCTAAGCAGAACTAATTATAGTATTTTATTTTATGATATTATAGATCTAATCTAATTATACATGATTGTGAAGTGATATATGATGATATGATCTACATTATCTATTTCTACATAATTTTTTTTATTATTGGGATGGCATGCGAAAGGTACTGATATGATTTAAAATAATAGAGGAATTATTTTTGAATGTTACTAACGATTTAAGTGTTTTTATTTTTGTCATATCTATCATATTTAATTTTTTTATGAATATTTTATAAAGTGATACTTGATCATATAATATACATTGTTGTTTTTTCTATTTTTTTTAGCAGTTTCAATTGCATCCTAAGGTTAGGATATGATGAAAATTAAATATTCCTTATGAGTTAAATAATATAGTAGCTTTTATTGGTAAATAATATAGTAGCTTTTATTGGTATTTGAATGATTGATTAAGCACTATGAATACGACAATGAAGAACGATAAAAAAGATTTATGTGCAATTTAAAGGTTATGATTATTTCTCTATACGAAAATTATTTAAAAAATATTTTTAATTATAATAAACTTGAAAAGAAATAAAGAGACGAGAAGATTTGATAGGAGGGGGGAGGATACGTACTCACGTAGGGGAGGAGGGTGGGCTGGTGGGGAGAGGGGAGGGAGATGGATTGTGGTGTTTTTTTTTTCTAAAAATAAATCTAATAGATGAAAATTGTGGGCCTACCGATTTATTAGAGAGCCACGTAGCAGTTTAGGAGCATTTATAGGAATCCCACATAGCGGCTTGAAAGTTTTTGTAGGAAGTTTAATGGACTTTTAGTATATAATAGATAGATAGATAGATAGATAGATAGAAGATAGATATCACGTCGTCCTAAGTATAACTTCTTTAATGTTTTTCCTGTGTAGAATATGGCTCTATGGGAAAAGCATCACGTAAGAGTGATGTGTTCAGCTATGGGATCATGCTTCTTGAAGTTTTCACTGGAAGGAGACCAATGGATGCTATGTTTCTTGGAGACCTAATAAGCCTTAGAGAGTGGGTTCATCAGGTATTTCCTACAAAACTTGTCCATGTGGTGGATAGGCATCTACTGCAAGGCTCCTCGTCTTCCAGCTGCAACTTGGATGAGAGCTTTCTTGTGCCAATATTTGAGCTGGGTTTGATCTGCTCTAGTGATTTGCCAAATGAAAGGATGACAATGAGTGATGTGGTCGTCAGACTGAAGAAGATCAAGGTGGCATACACCGAATGGATATCTGCGACATAGAATCTGGCTCAGTAAATCGCTCTAGCTTATTATATATGTATGGGTTTCCTTCAAAAAAAAAAACATTATGTGTATGTATCTACCTTGTTTATTTGTACACTGCAAACGTCATCAACGTCACTATATTATCCACCACTTCTTGTCTTCGTTGCCAAGGATGGCCTTCTCAACTTCTGCTCGCCCACCCATCCTATGCCCGGAGTAGCCCGAGATAACAAGGAGGGTTGCGCCATCAAGGTCGAGCTGACCCCTGCTTCCTGTTTCCGCCTTCAAGAATGACTTTCTCGACTTTTGCCAACCCATTCCTCGTCGGAGCATCCGTTAAAAAGGATGGCCAACAAGATGTGGAGGCAATCCTCGCCTCTTTGATGGCCAGGAAGATAAGAAGAAGACCCCCTCAATAGCGGTGTGGAGGACGGACGAACTCGTTGTCCATCCCACAGGCGTTGGCATGTGGTGGACGGAGAAACTCGCCGGCGTGTCGAGGGTGGAGAGTTGACATTGAACGACAAAAAGTGGCATGGGAAAAAAGGAATTCACACTCCTAGTGGCATAATATAAAAGTGCTACGAATTGAGTGGCATATCCTGAGAGTGCTCTGAATTGGATATTTGGATGTCAACATTGCTCTGCATATAACACATCTGGCAAAGTATTTGGACATGTTTCATATCCTATAGAGCTCATGGTGAGATGTTTCCTTTTAAGTGATTTGGATGATAATATATCTGGAGTTTATTCTCCAGATTAATAAATAAAAACCGTAATGCATGGAGTTTCTATTACCTTTTTATAATATATTACCAGTCTATCCTATAAGGGCTGGACTTCTAGAGGACGCGGCGCCCCGGCTTCCGACTCCACCGCCGGCGACGCCTCCTCAGAAGAGCCCCGTCGAGGCGCTTCGTTCTAGCGCCGCCCCGCGCCGCGCAGAGGACCGCCGCGAAGTCGAAGCGGCGACACAGCGCCTGGTGAAGCCGGGGGATCATCCGATCTCTTCGTGTCTTTGCGTAGCACAGTGCCCCGGCTACGCCCGCCACCTGTTCGACGGAATGTCTCCCAGCGAAGAGTGCGGGATCGACGACCTCCCCGACGAGCTCCTCCAGCAGATCCTGTCCCTGCTGTCCGCCGACGAGGCCGTGAAGACCTGCGTCCTGTCCCGGCGATGGCGCCACCTCTGGAAATCCACGGACATCCTGCGCGTCGCTTACAGTACTGATAGATGGAAGAGCTCCGACGAGTTCAAGAAGTTCGTCAACCATCTGGTGCTCCTCCGTGGCATCTCGCCTTTGCGCGAGCTTGATTTGAGGTTCAATGCACGCCGATACGAGGACGTGGTGCATGATGGCGGCAGTGATCCATACCAATGCGTCATGCTGTGGGTCATGTATGCCGTAATGTGCCGAGTTCAGGTGCTCAAGATCCATAACCTCGATCAGATAGACATTGAAGTGTACAAGGGCATGCCTCTTGTCTCGCCACACTTGACCAAGATAGAACTCTCTGGTATAGAGTTGAAGAATTGCTTCCTTAACTTCTCGAGCTGTCCTGCGCTGAAGGAGCTATATTTCACCAAGAATTGCGGCTTTGATTCCGTTTACGAGATTTTGTCCCGGTCGATACAATGTCTTCATATCTTCCATTGTCAATTCGGTGAGTATCACCGCACGGACATTTATGCACCGAGCCTCGTTACGCTCTTACTTGAAGGTTTTTGTGGCAGAACTCCTTTTCTCGGAAGAATGCCCTCATTAGTTGAAGCATCTGTCAGACCCCACCAGGATTGCGATGACTCGTGCAGTAATAGTTACTCTGGTAATTGTGAAGATGAATACTGTGATGGCTGTCATTGTAGATATGAGGTTAGCGACGATTCTGAAAGCGTGCTCCTAGGAGGTCTAACAGAAGCTGAGAATTTGAAGTTGATAGCTGGACCTAACATAGTAAGCTTACGTTAACATCTTATCAGATATCTCCTTAATTTATGTTATTTCCTGTATCTGATTCACCATTTTAACTTCTTAAGAATATGTTTCATGCATTACTATGTCTTGGCTCTTAAATTATTGTATTCACAACAAAATTCGGTTGACTTTCTCGCTTGCACTTTATCCAGTTTATTTTCAGAAGTGATTTAAGATGGTGCCCTTTGTTTAGCAAGATGAAGTGTTTGTTACTCAATGAGTGGTGTCTTGCTTCTAATTTCTCGGCACTAGCTTGTATTCTTGAACACTCACCAGTTCTACGGAAGCTCACTCTTAAAATTTCCAAGGTATATGTTTTTACAACTGCTGCATTGTTAAAGTTGTTGTGCATGATTAATTGAAGGTGAAATTTATTTCCCTGCTACAGGAATATAAATCTATGGTGGAATTGGAAACAGAAGAGAATGACAATCCATTGTGGAAACCAGCTGCAATATCAGAACACCTTAAGGTAGTGAAAGTCCACTGTAAAGAAGTTGATGAGGGGGTTTACAAAATTGGGAAGTGGTTGAGTACATTGGACAAAAAAGTTATTATCAAGCAGAGGAAACAACAACCAAAACGTAAGCTTACTGTTGACATTTTTTCATTCTTCCAGTATTTCTGATTTTTTTTTTATTGCAAATGATAGAAATAAATAACTAGAACTGGAAATAGAGATTTAGAAAACAAGGAAAGGAAAACTGAAAAAAGAAAACTGTATTTAGAAGGGATAAAAGGAAAACATGATCCATTGTGTTTTGTTGTCAAGTACGATCCATGAAAATATAAATAGAAACAGAATAACTTGACTTCTACAATTTGAACTGTTTACTTGTTGAATATCTTTCATTTCATGTTAGTCTTGTTAACACAGTTTCCGCATGAGTAATTCTGGACAGGAACACAATTTGTTGACTAGTGGAATAGATCTTAGTACCTGTTATCTGACATTGATACATTATCTGGCTTCTTATTTACCTTCATCTTTGAAATTATTGTTCCTTATCTTTGAAAGGGCATTCAGTATTGCACGTATTGTTGATTGAATCGCACATCTCTGCCTCAAACTTATTGTATTTTGGATACTGATGCAGTCTTCTGTCTGGAGGAAGGAAATATTTGTTGATGCCTGGTCAAAAAAAAGAAAGAAGACGCAGTGAATCCTAGTAGTGGCGCTTTTTTTTTCCCTGAGGTGCTTGGCGAGGATTTTCTCGCCGAGGTGTTACCTTTTCCTTTTCTTGTAACCTGGCTATGTTTTTTCTCCGACTTATTATAATACAATTGGCAGTTCTTCTGCCGGTTCAGTTATTTTTTAAAAAAAGAAAAAATGAGAAAGAAGTAACAATAGATCAGCTAGATGAAGCACCTCTTAGTTATTTAGTAATGCAAGGCTTAAAGTTCGCAGTAACAAGAACTCTCTGTCTTGTCAATGAGATTGCTAGGTTAGTTTCACTAGGAAGAACAACTGTGTTTTGGAATGAGTTGTTTAGCGGTTAATCTGTAGCTGGTTTTTCTGCAGTCCTGTTCTTTTCGCTAATGTGCTAATATAAGAACATAACGCGTAGTGCTGTCACTTGCTACTTGAGATTATATATTTGTTCGTTAGGCCGGTACAAGTGGGGCCATGTGCAGTCCTGTGTCGTCGTAATCGACAATAATCTCAAGTTGCCATGTGCCTGCTGAAGTTGAACAGTCAAACAATTTGTGTTCTGTTTCTACAAATCCATTCTCTTCTTCCCCGTCAATTAAAACAGCTAACAAAGCAACACACATTTGTGCAGGTTCACACTAAGCTTCCTGTTCATTTTCTTCTCCACCAGCTCACAGGAGTACAGCAACTGGGAGCTGCAGCTGCAAGCATCCAAATCTTCCAGCCTGGAGAGGCATGTAGCTACAGCTTTACTTGGTCTTTGGTCATTGACCAAAGTAAACTCCAATAGAGACTAGTCTACAACTGCTCCAGTCATGTCCATATCAACACTTAATCTGACAGTTCAGTTTCCCGGCATCTAGTGTCGCTGCTCAATATCAACAGTCAAACTTGCATCAATTTTCCTGTATATATCACCACACACTCCCAAGTCCCAACAACACCTACTTCTCACACATCCATGCTTCTGCCTCTCCAATCCATCCTCTGCTACTTTCTCCAACATTTCCATGTCTCCACTCCACACCCATCTCGGGTTCTTCCTCCTCCTCCTCCTCTTCTCCTTGCACAATCCATCATGCTCCGCCGCGGCGAATGATACCCTCGCGGTGGGGCAGGTGCTCGCCGTCGGGGAGAAGCTCGTCTCGAGGAACGGCAAGTTCGCGCTCGGCTTCTACAAGCCGGCACTCCCTGAAGGCATTGCAAGTAAGTATGGCAACATCACCTCTCCTGGATGGTACCTTGCCATATGGTTCAACAAGATCCCGGTTTGTACCACCGTGTGGGTTGCTAATAGGGAGAGGCCAATCACTGATCTAGAGATCAAGCTAACACAGCTGAAATTCTCACAAAATGGCAGTAGCCTTGCCATCATCATAAACCGTGCTACTGAATACACAGTATGGTCCAGACAAATTGCCAATAGGACAGCACAAGCTAAAACCAGCATGAACACTAGTGCAATTCTCTTGGACAGTGGAAATCTTGTCATAGAAAGCATCCCTGATGTTTATCTGTGGCAGAGCTTTGATGAACCGACGGATCTTGCGCTTCCTGGCGCAAAGTTTGGGTGGAATAAGGTCACCAGGTTGCATCGTACTGGTATATCAAAGAAAAACCTTATTGATCCGGGTCTCGGCCCATATTCCGTTCAACTGAACGAGAGGGGCATTATCCTGTGGCGTCGAGATCCTTACATGGAGTATTGGACCTGGTCATCTGTCCAATTGACAAATATGCTCATACCATTACTCAATTCGCTACTAGAAATGAATGCACAGACCAAAGGTTTCCTTACCCCAAATTATACTAACAACAACGAAGAGGAATACTTCATGTACCATTCATCAGATGAATCCTCTTCCTCATTTGTCTCAATAGACATGTCTGGCCAGCTCAAGTTGAGCATTTGGTCACAAGCTAATCAGTCTTGGCAAGAAGTATATGCACAGCCTCCTGATCCATGCACTCCATTTGCAACCTGCGGACCTTTTAGCGTATGCAATGGCAATTCAGATTTATTTTGTGATTGTATGGAGAGCTTCTCTCAGAAGTCACCTCAAGATTGGGAGCTCAAGGATCGAACCGCAGGTTGCTTCAGAAATACGCCATTAGATTGCCCTAGTAACAAGAGCTCGACAGACATGTTCCACACAATAACTCGGGTCGCATTGCCAGCTAACCCCGAAAAAATAGAAGATGCTACCACTCAAAGCAAATGTGCCGAATCTTGTCTCAGTAACTGCTCCTGCAATGCTTATGCCTACAAAGATAGCACATGCTTTGTCTGGCATAGTGAACTCCTTAATGTAAAGCTACATGACAGCATTGAAAGTCTTTCTGAAGATACTCTTTACCTTCGCCTAGCTGCCAAAGATATGCCAGCTACGACCAAAAACAAACAAAAACCAGTTGTTGTGGCTGTTACCGCTGCAAGCATTGCCGGTTTTGGGTTACTAATGCTCATGCTATTCTTCTTGATTTGGCGGAACAAATTCAAGTGTTGTGGTGTAACATTACACCACAACCAAGGCAACAGTGGAATAATAGCCTTCAGATACACTGATTTAAGTCATGCTACCAAAAATTTCTCAGAAAAGTTGGGGTCAGGTGGTTTTGGTTCTGTGTTCAAGGGAGTATTAAGAGACTCAACTACTATTGCGGTGAAAAGGCTCGATGGTTCACATCAGGGAGAAAAGCAATTCAGGGCTGAGGTGAGTTCACTTGGATTGATTCAACATATAAATCTTGTCAAATTGATTGGTTTCTGCTGTGAAGGTGATAAGAGGTTACTTGTGTATGAACACATGGTAAATGGTTCTCTTGATGCCCACCTTTTTCATAGCAATGGTGCTGTCCTAGACTGGAACACTAGGCATCAAATAGCCATAGGAGTTGCTAGAGGATTGTCCTACTTGCATGAGAGTTGCCGTGAATGCATCATACACTGCGATATTAAGCCAGAAAATATACTTCTTGAAGCATCATTTGCTCCTAAAATTGCAGACTTTGGGATGGCGGCATTTGTGGGAAGGGATTTTAGTCGGGTTCTAACTACTTTCAGGGGAACTAAAGGGTATCTTGCCCCAGAGTGGCTTAGCGGAGTCGCTATTACTCCAAAAGTTGATGTTTACAGTTTTGGTATGGTACTGCTAGAAATCATATCAGGAAGAAGGAATTTATCTGAAGCATACACAAGCAACCATTATCATTTTGATTATTTTCCCGTGCAAGCCATCAGCAAACTTCATGAGGGAAGTGTGCAGAATTTGCTTGATCCAGAATTACATGGTGATTTCAATTTGGAAGAGGCTGAAAGAGTTTGTAAAGTTGCATGTTGGTGCATTCAAGAAGATGAAATTGATAGGCCAACAATGGGTGAAGTGGTTCGCTTTCTTGAGGGTCTACAGGAGGTTGACATGCCCCCCATGCCAAGACTACTTGCAGCCATAACCGAAAGGTCTCATATATAGTTTCAGTGTTGTAATATTTCATAAATACTTTGTATTCAATGTAATCAGTCTTTTGTTTGAGCAAATTGAAAGTTCCAATGTAATAATCTGGCAATTGCTTAGTTTTACTGTGTGGTGCTGGTGAGTAATCTCATTTCTTATTACTTTTCCTAATGACTGATTATACTATGCACGCATTATATCCAAATATGATAGAACTAAAATTACCTGCCATTGTGTATGTTTTGCTATTCATTGATCGGACGGATGACATATACCCTAAAATTGAAGAAGCTGGTACCATTACTTAGGTGGTGTTTGAACATCCTGAAGATGAAGATAAAGATTAAGTGTTTCACGTAAAACGAGATGGCAATAATGTGTGACTAATTGAGTTTTAATTATTAGAAACTTGAAAAATAAATTAATCTTATATTTTAGAACAACTTTCATATATAAAGTTTTCACACGAAACGTACTGTTTAATAGTTTGAAAAGCATGCCACGAGTATCCAAAGTTTATCCAACTAGTTGTTTTGGAGATAGACGGCAAGTGCAAGCTGAACATGCTCAGGGTTAAAAAGAAAATTCAGACCAAAATTTCAAAAGTTTCAGTACCCCAGATGATTGAAATCTTGATCATATTTGGTTGAATTCATTTGGTTTCGACAAATTCTCACATTTTGATGGTTTTAGTTAAAATTTAATGGATTTTTCAGACCGCAGCTTCTTTCTTTTTTTTTTGAAAATTTTGGCTGTGGTATTTTCTACTTCGAAAATTAAAAGCACTAAACCATGCAAAATGTGAGTATATATTTGTCATAGAATAGTATTGTCAGTAAAATGTATACTCGGGTCTCCTCTGTGGTATATATCCCAGTAAGATGCAAGAAGATTTTTATATAGGTTTAGGCTGTTCTCAGATTAATAAACTTATGTCCTGTTGGCATTGACAAACGAGGGAAAATTTATGTTTACAAGGATGTATACGGATCTATTTTAGACTAATTAGTGAGCTAATGATCTTGTCGAGATTGATCTTCTGGATCTTCTTGGCAGCTTGGCTCAATGGGTTGATGGCCAGTTGGTTGATTCAATACTCTGACCCTGTCCTAGCCCTGACTAGTATTCGTCAGGGACTTCTAGACATAATCTTGGAAAGTTGGAAGTCTTTTGACGAAATGCTGGTTGAATCCAAGTGGTCTTCAAGATCTTGCCAAAGCTGCTGTCTTATTGCTTATCTGTTCGGAACTCTCTATTCCTGTTCAGAAGAATCCTTCTCGTATAGGCATAGATATACTATACGTAGGCCGGTGTGTATTCATATGTGATATGTCTTTGAGGTTTTCCCATATATTAAGTATACAGATAATTCATCCATCCAAAGGACATTAATTTATATGCAGATTTGGTCAAGAAGCATAAGCATATTCTTCAAATAGCAGGAACATAATCCAAAATTTATGACGGTTAACACTAAGAAAGATAATCTTTGCAAACGGCTAAAACCCATTTTTGCAAATGGCTGAGTGGCATGCTGTTGAAATCTGGTGGGAAATTTTCAATTTTTTAGGTTTTCCTTTTATGTGCTATAACACTTGCCTCCTCCTAGGTGTATGTAAAAATCAGCATTTTTTCAAGCAGACAGTACACCCGTGCGTGAGAAGTGATTTTTGTAAACCGTAAAGTTAAGCCGTCTGCTTGTGAAAAAGAATAAAAATTCCAAAATTCGAGACCCTAACTAGCCCACATCAATTGCCGCTGCCATCGTCCTCATCACTACTGTCCGTCGCCGCCGAGGCCTTACAGCTCCTGAGGCCAGCGACGGTGGATCTGCACCTCTCAAGGTTGGCACCGCCGGACCGCCGACATCGAGCTCTCGAGTGTTAGATTCGGCATCACGAGCTTCCCAACACCGGATTTGCCATCACCACTCCCGGCCGCTGCACCTACTGTCATTGAGCTCCCAGCGCCACAGTCACAGTTGCTGAGCTCCTAGCTCCACACTCGTCGTCGTTGAGCTCCCCACTGCCATACCCGCCATTGCCGTGTTCCCCCATGCCAGATCTGGCATCGCTGAGCTCTATAGGATTGAATACCAGAACCAAGCCTATCAGACGGGGATGAATGTCATGAACACCAAAAAACCAAAAGCTTTTAGTGAAAATAAAAGTTGTTACCCTCAACTTGACGAAGTTGCACCGGTTACATTGCTGGATTGCTGCTGGTCTGACCGCCTGCACACCACCGGTCTGACTGCCGGTTGAACCATCTCCCTTCCACCAATGTGACCACCCACCGGTTAGACCACACAATGTACTCCAATCAAACCGTTGGGATCCCAAAAAAAAACATGTATTGACGAAACTCTTGAAAGTAGATCAATTTTGTTTGATCAATATGTGTGTACAAAGTGCATCTAAAGCACTTCTCTCTCAACTCACGAACTAGGATTGAAACCTCGAAGCAAACCTTAACTTTTCTATCCCAAAATATCGATATCTTCTAACCTCAACCCCTGATCTATTTATTAAATTTTTAGTCACGTGGAATCCACGTGCACGCTTACTAGTTGCAGTTAGGGATGAAAACGGATCGAATATGGTCGGAAACTAGCTCTATCATATTCGTTTTCATATTTTTTTCTCGGAATCGAAATCGGAAACCCAGATACGAAAACGGAATCGAATATATATTGAATACAGATACGGAGCGAATACGAATCGAAACGAATATGGTGACGAATAATTATCGAAATATCAAGGCCCCTCAAAGTAAGCTTCTTAAATCGAGGAAGAGATATAGCCATTAGTTTTCAGAAACAAAACATCAATATTTTAAAAATGGGGAGATAGAAAATGTTGTGTTTACTTTCCATACAAATTTATGTTATCATGAAACAAATAAATTAATGTGTATCACTGAAATTTTCGTAGGCACATTGAAATATTTGAAAATTGGTTGAATATTTTAAATTTTGGGTTGAACATTTCAATTGGAGTTGAGAATTTCGAAATTGAATTAAACGTTCTAGAATTTGAGTAGAATTTTTTAAATCTGAGTTGAGAGTTTTGAATTCGAACTGAAACTTTTCAATTTTTGAATTAAAAGTTTTTAAAATTTTCAGAATTGAATTGAATGTTTTTGAAAATTTGAGTGGTTATTTTTCAGAATTGAATTTTTCCATTTGTTTGTATGTTAATTGCTATTCCTTGTTTTTTTATATGGTTTGTTTTGTTCTACCTAAGTAGAGAAAAAAACATGTTTTTGCATAAGAGTACTGGATATCCGATGAAAAATACCGGATAGTATCTTACCGTTATCCGATTCCGACAGATCACCTATATCATATTCGTTTACATTTCCGAAAAAAAAATATCCGAATTCAAAAATTTTTGGATATATCCAACTGAAACTATCCGAATCCGAAAAAATGTCCGGTGGTAGAAACTATCCTAATCACTTTCAACCCTAGTTTTAGTGATGTGCTAAGAACATAACGCGTAGTATTGTCACTTACTAGAGGTTATTTATATCATCTCTTCTTCCTACTCAGTAGGCCGGTACAAAGTGGCTATATATGGTCCCGTACTCCTGTATCGTCGTAATAGACAATAATCTCAAGTTGCCGTGTGCCTGCCAAAGTCACAGACTTGCACAATCAAATATTTGTTCTGTTTCCCCATCAATTAAAACAGGTATCAAAGCAACACACATATGTGCAGATTAACAGTAGCTTCCTGTTCATTTTATTCTCCACCAATATACAGGCGTACAGCAACTGGAGCTGCAGCTGCATATATGCATCCAAATCTGCCAGTCTGGAGAGGCTTGGTCTTGGTGATTGACCAAAGTAATTAAACGCCGATGGCGTCAACGGAGACTAATTAGTCTACCTCCTGCCTAATTAATTCCATGGTTCGTACATGCTTGCCACTCATGTCCAAATCAACACTTAATCTGACAGTTCAGTTTCCCGGCAGCTAGCGTCGCCGCTCAACAATCAACAGTCAAACTTGAATCGACTTTCTGCTATACATACGTACTCCCAATATATTCTCTGCTACTATATGCTTCTCCAATATTTCCATGCCTCCCCTCCACGCCTATCTCGGGCTCCTCCTCCTCCTCCTCTCAATGCACACTCCATCATGCTATGCCACAAATGACACTCTTGCGGCGGGCCAGTTGCTCGCCGTTGGCGAAAAGCTCATCTCGAGAAATGGCAAGTTCGCGCTCGGCTTCTTCAAGCCTACACTCCCTGAAGACGCTGGAAGTAAGTATAAAAACATTGCATCTCCTGGCTGGTACCTCGCCATATGGTTCAACGAGATTCCAGTTTGTACCACCGTGTGGGTTGCAAACAGGGAGAGGCCAATAACTGATCACGAGCTTAATCTAGCACAGCTGAAATTCTCACAAGATGGCAGTAGCCTTGCCATCATCATAAACCGTGCCACTGAATCCACAGTATGGTCCAGACAAATTGCCAATAGGACAGCACAAGCCAAAACCAGCATGAATACTAGTGCAATTCTCTTGGATAGTGGAAACCTTGTCATAGAAAGCCTATCTGATGTTTATCTGTGGCAGAGCTTTGATGACGCGACAGATCTTGTGCTTCCTGGTGCAAAGTTTGGGTGGAATAAGGTCACCGGGTTGCATCGTACCGGTATATCAAAGAAAAACCTTATTGATCCAGGTCTCGGCTCATATTTCGTCCAACTGAACGAGAGGGGTTTTATCCTGTGGCGTCGAGATCCTTACATAGAGTATTTGACCTGGTCATCGGTACAATTGACGAACATGCTCATACCGTTACATAATTCGCAACTAGAGATGAATTCACAGACCAAAGGTTTCCTTATGCCATCTTATGTTAATAATGATGAAGAGGAATACTTCATGTACCACTCATCAGACGAATTAGCTTCCTCATTTGTCTCAATAGACATGTCTGGCCAGCTCAAGTTGAGCATTTGGTCGCAAGTTAATCAATATTGGCAAGAAGTATATGCCCATCCCACTGATCCCTGCGCTTTATTTGCTGCCTGCGGACCATTCAGTTTCTGCATTGCTACTTGCGGACCTTTTGGCGTCTGCGATGGCAGTAGAAAACCATTTTGTGATTGTATGGAGGGCTTCTCTC